CCATAGTACTGTATTTCGCAGCTAGCTACAGCGACAAACATCGCATACGCCTCAAGCCTATACTGCTTGGCCTATTCATTATGGTAGCCGGCTTGGTAATCGTGGTGCTGTTGCCATCCTCATGGGCAATACCCCGCTACATCGCTCTCAACATCCTCCTCTCGGGTACCTATGTCGCATCTCCCCTCACAGTGGCCTGGATTTCTGGCAACACGCCGTCACCTGGCAAGCGCGCATTGCTCCTCGGTATCAACGGTTGGGGCAACCTCGCTGGAGTCATCTCAGCAATTTTGTTTCGCCCAAAGTACGCTGCGGGTGGCTACATTGTCCCGTTCTGGTGGACACTTGCATCTGTCGCGTTAGCTGCTCTGGGTTACGTGCTTTTCCTTCGACGCTTAAAGGCTGAGAACAAAACGCGACAAGACATGTTACGCAAATGGAGCGAAGACGACGTCGAGGCCGAAAGGCTTCATGGCAGGGGTCCGGTACCGCAGCAACAACGGTGGCTTAGACAAGCCATCAACGTGATGCGGCCGCATGCGAAACTTGCATGGCTAGCGGATTGGCTCGAGAAGGCTGCGCGGTCTGGCAGGGAGGGCGACGATAGGCTTACATTCGTCTACGGATTATGAGATATGATCTGCTGTGCGACACTACAAAGCATAATCCTATGCAGCATCTGAGTTGGCATCATCCCTTGGACGAATGTGAAATTCGGGACATGCATGTCTGTCAGCTTTCAGGTTTTGAGCGGGACGTTGGGCTGTCGAGATGCTGTACAGCCTCAGCCTTGCGACGTCACAACCGCCACCTTTTTGCCAGCTGAAAAGCGGTTGACCGATAGCAAACCAAACCGATTCACTTCCAACTTCCCTAATCTCACCACGGCCTTCGACCAACACAAGATAGAAGACGCTCCGAGTCCGACATCAAGCAAACAGAGAAGATCTCATACATCGTATCGCGGGCGCGCAGCTTGTACTCAGTCTTGGACAAGGCGGCAGACGAGATGGCGAACACAACTATGCCCAATGGCACACAATACCACACCTGGAAGCCAGAGCCTTTGGTTCGCGGCACGTTTTCCATCCTGTCGTCGTCTCTTTTGACGATGATTCTGTGTGTTTGGACAGCCGTTCACTTGAATATCCCTGAACCTGGAGGCGCCAACGCACAGATGTGGCGGAAAACAGGCTGGATGATTATAGCACTCTTTGCTCCAGAATGGGTGAGTCTCATCACTCTGCCACACGGTCGGCCAACGTTGACTCAATTTAAGGTCGTCTTTACTGCCTACTGCGAGCATGCAGAGGCAAGGCACATAGGGAAAACTATGAGAAAGGCTTTTGGTCAGCCAGAGCCTCCAGGTTTCATCAAGAAGCGATGGGAAAACTTGAACTACATGTTCCAAAGCCTTTCTAGAGCTAAAACAAGCATCTCTCAAGAACCAAGGCAGGCTACTGAAGACAGAGATGTGGAACCCGAATCCAGGTTTCGGAGGCACCCTTGGACACAAGCGCACTCCATGTACGCCACCATGGGCGGCTTCGTTGTCGATACTCGGAGTCTGGATCAGAAGTATCTTCCCAAGGGACGGCAGAGGATGACATTGACACCAGAAGGCCTCAAATTCATCGCCGAGCACACCCCTGATCTCGTCCCGGATCTACCCGAATCTGCGATAATAGACAAGAGCAAGGCGAATGCGTTCACGAAGCTCGTGACATGCGGACAAGCGCTATGGTATAGCTTGCAGTGTGTTACTCGGTCAACCCAGGGCCTGACTATCTCGTTACTAGAGATCAACACCACCGTACACACCGTATGCGCCTTGACCATGTACTTTTTCTTCTGGTGGCACAAGCCACTAGACGTTGATGAGCCCACTGAACTCACGAACGTTGACACTCACCCAGTGATTGCGTTCCTAGTCATTCACGATATGATTCCGCAAGCTCGTCTGTCTCCAATGGATATGGGGGACGATGATAGTCCTGGCCTAGTACCCGACTCTGGAAGGGAGATCCACCATCCAAACCCAAACCACACACCGCTTAGAGCATCGAAGGACCCCCAATTTCCGACACCAGAGTATGCTATTTACCATGGTTTCGCTATCCCCACGACTAGATCAGGCTCAGATTCTGTTGGGCTGGATTTCGCTAAGATAAATTCACGACGCTTCATTCTAGCCTCACAAGTTGCCAGGAAGTACGGACCATACACCGGAACTCTAGGCTGTGTGACTCACAATACGAAAAAGACCAGCTACTTGGCTGTACATATACACAATCGGCCCAGTCAAAATGCGGAGAGTTCCGAGCTTCTTTCACTTATGTGGTTGCCTCTTGCTGGTCTCTTCTATGGCGGTGTACATCTTCTTGTTTGGAACCGCTCTTTTCGCAAGGAGACAGATGAACTCCTCTGGAAAATCAGCAGCCTGACAATTGTGTCGTCAGGCATGGCGCTTGTAATTGCGGCTTGTCTTGCATTGCTCTACGAAGAGTATCCTAAGTTGCATCCAGCTGGAGGGTTGGTGGAAGACTCTTTGCAAGTGGTTTTCGCCATATCCATTGTATGTTATTTGTTGTTTTATATCTTCTGTAGGATCTTCATCATCGTTGAGTGTTTCCTAGACGTCTTTCACCTCCCGGAATCAGCTTTCGAAGTCCCGAGGTGGGCACAGTACTTTCCGCATTTCGGGTGATTTATCACATTTGACGTACAAATGGGCAACATATATCTACTTCCAGATCGGAAGATCTTCAAATTTGCCATACATCCATATACATTATCTGTCTTTGCCGAAGACGTATTGCAGTCTAAACAATGTCTCTCATCAACGTCGAAGAACCTGTGGCGCAGCCCGGGAGCATATTCTCTACTCAAGCGTATTTGACCAGGATGTTTCGCATAGTCGGCGATGTTGCGCGAGCGGTATGTGCGATTCCCATGGTGTTCAGCGCCCGACGTTGCATGCCCACGTAACAACCTTGGCCTCAACGTTACGCGCGGGCACCCGTCCTGCAGCCCTCCAACGTCTACACTCTCTCAAACCCTCTTTCGGTGCCTTTCTCGACATCTCTTTTGCTACTCGGCAGCAGCAGCGCTCTACACCTGAGCGGTATAGTCCGGCTAGCCGGCAGTTTCACACTCCTCCTCGCAACGCGCAAAATCGCATTCGACGAAACCAAGACTACGGTACCGCTTGCACTCAGACAAAGCTCTCCTCGGTCTTCACGCTCAACTCGTTCACGACCGTCATGCAAAGATGCGCCTGGAAGCGCCTGAACCTGCATGTCACAGACCCGTCGCCTAAATCAGCCGTTTAACCGCAGGTTCTTCTGCGTTTTACATATTTCCAAGGTCCCGAGGTCCCCAAGGCCGCATGTTTGAGAAGGCAGCAAGTGTTTCAAGTGCAAGGCAGCGCTTCGGTTTCGCTTGTTGATTCGGGTTTGACGGCACGCTTGTGGTTGGGTAGTGTGGCGTTGGGGTGAGATGGGTTGTAAGACGATTTTTGTCACCACCACCACGGTGTAAGGCTATGACAGAAGCGGACTATAAGTATACTGTATCTCTCGAGACTAGGAACAACAGCACACCGGTTCCATCTCGGCCACACTCCCTACACACAAGAATCATTGTTTTGCCCGCCTGCGATCCCTCGGTTTGCCAGACCCGCCAGGGCCCGACCACCCGGCCAAAGGTTTGAGATGTGCATGATCGACTGCCTGCGACTTGCCTCAGGATCACCGTCCCAGGATACCTTTTATGGAAAGCAGCGAAATAGGTATCAATGCCATGTACTCAGAAGAAGAGAGCTTCTCACAGCAAGTATAAAGCAAGCATCCACGCCAGCCCATAGTTTGCTTCTCAAGCCAGTCTTCCAATTCACATCTACATTTATTCTTTATTCACTACCCGCTGTGCGGATCAATTCACTTTCACTCACCCATCAACAACTTTCGAATCAATAATCAACGTTAATACTCCAAAAAAACCAACTACTTCGAAAAACAACCGCCAAAATGCAGTTCTCCATCACCGCCATTCTCTTCGGCCTCGTCGCCGTCTCCTCCGCCGCCATCGCCGACGTCGAAAACGTCCGCAACACCCCCCGCAACGTGCTTGAGAACCGTCAGGCTGCTAACGGCGCATGCTGTATCCCCGAGCAATCGCTCAAGCAGGATGCTTGCACTGTTAACGGTGCGGCTGGAAAGTGTGTGCCTGGAGGACCTGCTGCTTGTACGTATCCATATCCATAAGACCCAGACGAGTCCTTTCTCGAGAGAGAGGGTGTGTGTGGGAAAGAGAGAGAGACATATACTGACACAAATAACAGGCAACGGTGCACTCAACTGCGTAGCAAACGACCAGCTCGTATGCGACAACAACGTCCAGGAGCGCTCTGGTAACCTGTGCCGTTTCCAGGCTGCGAACGGCAAGATTCAGGATGGTGCTCAGCAGATTAACAGTCTTGCTCAGGCTAAGGTTAACTAAGTGAGTGGATGAGGAGGGTTGTCTAAAGGGTTGATGGGTGGATCTTTATAGCAAGGTGCATAAATAAATGTATTTGTGGATTGAAGAATTGTCTTGCGTGACTGGAAGTAAGGGGTGATGTGGAAAATGCTAAGCCGCAGATTGGAGCGGATTGTGATGTGCTAACCAAAAGCTCTTACGTCTTGGCTCGGTGGGGCACATGGCCTTTGTCGTATCTTAGGTTTTTTAGTGTTCCGATATACATGGAGATATACCTGGAGTTAGTTCAGAGATTCGCGCTTCACAAGTCCCAGAGCACATCTCATTACAAGCAGATACTTCTTTTCCAATGTGAACCTCTTTTCTCTTACAATTGGTCTACTACTCAAGCTGAGATGTATTGATCAATGCATGTATTCGTGTATCATAACCTCCATATATCTTTATCTGCCCTATGAGCCAAGATTCATATCCAAACTTCATCAACCCCATAGCCCAAACCTCATCTCAACCACCCCATCTTACCGTCCCCACCCCGCAAACCTGCCAATCTCCTTAACCTCCCTCCTTCCCACAACACCCGCCGCAACAGCGCAAACCGCACCGACACCGACGAGCAGCGCGCGTGCCAAGTTCAAACTAGCCCACTTGTCCATCAATTCCTTGACTGTCTCGCCTTCCTTGGCGAACTGCTCAACGTGCTTGTCGCGCAGGGAGGCGTTGGCGAGTTCGTCTTTCTTCGCCATGAGTTTGTTGTTTGTGGGGCCGAGGACGAGGATCGTGAACGGGACGATGGAGGGGAGGAGGAGGGTTGCGAGGGCGTTGAGGCGGAAGGGGGTGGAGGTGCGGTCTTCTAGGGGGTTGTCAGTTATACGTTATTAGTGGGTGGCATGGGATTGGAGTGGCGGCATGGGGGTTGGAAGGGAGATGGAAGTTCAATAGGACGTACGGTGATAAGCCAAATACCCCGTTGCCAGCGCCGAGATAGCAGCAAGAGGACGGGCGATTGCGCCGCCGCGGGTGAAGATTGTGTACCATTGCTTTACGGCGAGGGGTGCGGGGGCCTGCATGGCGGCGGGGATGCCGACGACGGAGAGGGAGACATTGGAGCCTGGTATACTTGTCAGTATCAATCCTCTTAACGTTATATCTTCCCATTGACCACAATAGAGATGCTCATTGAGTGCCAGAGTGTCTTACCAACCAGGAATACACTGCCTGTGATGCCCACCGCCTGTGCGATCGCCAGCGCCGTGGGCGTCTTTTGCGTGAGGATATCCATTGTGTTTGTGAAGATGAAGATTGTTCAATTGGTAGTTGAAGAAAAGTATTTGACTTGTCAAAGCGGTGGCCTGACTAACAGAATGATGGTTGTGGTCGGCGTGATAGCTCGGAGACGCGCTGCAGGGCTTGGCCGTCAGGCTTCCCAGGTTCCCCGCGGATCCCGATCGCGTCGACTGAAGCTCCGCACTCCGATGCGTGCCATAGGTCAACCACAAAGCTCCGACTTCTTGCTTTTTGCTATCGATATCATCACGAGGGGCTGGATGTGGCTTCTTTGTTGCACAAATCTTAATGTGGTTATATTCCTATTCCTAATTGTTGTGCCTGGGTGAGACGTGTCGCTTATTGCCGTGAAACTGTAGAAGCATCATCAACGAGCGCTCGACGTACATAAGACTAGCTTCTCTCAAGCTTCTCGCCGATAGTTTTGCTTTTGATCTTCGAGACTTACCATACTTACGATAATCTACTCGTGCTCAATCAACAATAGGACTTAGATAGAAAGATACCCGTGCCGCAGTCTGCGCCTCATCGTAACCCTCACCACCATCTAATCAGCTATCAGACCAATCCACCAGCCATGTTTTGTACGTCTCCCACCCCTATTCAATTCTCCCTCCCTAACAAGCCCCAGCTCTAAACACAACCGCGACCCTCCACCACGTAACGCACCTCCCCCGCTCCGTCTCCTTCGCGACAGCTGTCTCCCACCTCCACAACCACGTCCTCCTCATCCGCCTCGATCCCGAATACGCCTCGCACGAAGACCTGCCCAGCGACCCATCCACCCCAGACGCAAAATGCTACCGCATAACCGACCACATGAACGCGCTGCCCGCAGGTCTCTGGGACACAACCGTCAAGTTCGACGCCCACATGACTGATCTCGACGACGGCGTATTATGGACTATCAAGGCGCCGTTGGGACTTACCCAGCGGACTACGTGGCGGTGTTTGAAGACGGAGGGGTTGAGTGAGGGGGATAGAGAGGGTGCTGAAGGGTGCGAGTGGAGTCTTGTGGAGGATGTGGAGATTAGGGCGAATAGGATGTTGGTGGGGACGGTCAAGGCGAAGTGTGAGGAGAATTGGCCGGGGGCGCATGGCAAGTTTTTGAAGTACTGTACGGGGGAGACGGCGGCATGATGAGCTATGGATGGGAGGGGGGTTATTCGGGTCTACAACACGCTGGAGTATCGTGACTTGGCCCTTGGGTATGAACCATCGTGGAGTACAGCGCAAGTTTGTACCCACTAGATCTGTAGCAAATCTAGATGCGAACACCATCGTGACACTATGCCAGGTTCTTACGCTAAGATCAACAAACTCTTGTTGTCAAACCTAATGGACAACAGCTACAACATGCTTGGTGCAATCCTCACCCGCCCTTCAGGAAACATGGAGAAGCCCGGCTGAATGGTCCATGTGCCGTTGGGCCCAAGGACGTATTTTGCCTGGCGTCTGGGGCGAAAAGTTCCAAGGCGGAGCCTCTGCATCTAGAAGGCATCCAGATTGGCGGAATTTGTACCAGTGGCGGGTCGTGGATGTCGGCTAGACGCAAAAAGGCTGCTGCTGGTTGACCCTGCATAACACCCACTGCAGGTTGGAGACCTGACCCTGAATGCCGATGCCTTTCTCTTCATATCTTGAATCTGAAGAAAACGACCATCTCGCAAGATGAGTGAGATGCCTGTAATCCAAGGCTCTTATCAGCTCACGCGACACTGATTCAACGGTCAAGCGACCAATGTCTCTCTTCGGAGGTGCGCTGGTGACATCGGAGGCCGCACGTGGCGCGCCCCCAATCGGGCCTTCCGGATCGACGCGATAGCAACGATAAGACATTGGACAACAGCAACTCGCTGCACATGAAGTCGCTGCACGTCGCTGCTGCTGGCATCCTTCGCGTCACTTGGTCGCACACCATAAGCATCGCACCCAGATGCCCTCAAGTGATGCCCGCTCGCCTTGTCAGCCAACGGCCAAGACCCCTTCTTGAACCGAAAGGCTATTGATCGGCCTCTGGCTCGCCGCATAACACGGGCCATATCCCCGCCTTTCTAGACTGCACTGAACTGCGCGTTCCGCCATCCGCTCAGCTATCAAAAACCGCGCACCCAACCACCGGGTCAGCGTCAGCTCCTCTTACGTTCGTTCCTTTTCGCTGGTACGGGCCTGTTCCCACCTCTCTGGCTGCCATCTTGCTCCAGTAGACGTGACGATATCCTCCCTCGGTCTTCGACTTCTTTGATCCTCCACCTTCCCCGCCCCGTCCCGCTTGTCGCCGAGCACGCGTACCGCACAGCCACGCTTCGACATGGAGCCTTTGTCCATCGACTCCGTGGTCGTCGACCACAGCGAAGTGCGTCCCGCGCCGGGAACCCCGCCATCAGACGCCATCATGATCGAGCAGCCAAAGCTCAAGGGCAGACAGCGTCTTTTGAAGGGCCTACAACGGATGGGCTCGTCCTCGAGTCTGGCGAACTTGGGTAGACCCCGCTCTCACAGTCTAAGAAGCGGTGGAAAGGCATCCATGTCTTGCGTCTCCCTCGCATCGCCTGGCTCACCATATGGAAACTCATTTGGCAGTTCTTACTCCTCGGAGCTGTCGAATGGCTTCTCCACAGCTCCTACGTCGGTCGCCAACAGCCCACCTGGCACGCCCTTCTGGGACGAGAGGACTCGTCTGCGGATGAAGACACCAGATATCCCGTCCTCAGTGCCTCTTCCTTCCGCCCGACGACCCTACACTCGAGACGGCATCGAAGCCGAGAACGACTACTTCTCGCGACCCGTCCACAAGGTCCAGAAGCGGGCAAACTTCAACTTCTGGAGTGATATGCCCACTGAGATTCGCATGCAGATTCTGAGATACCTTGAGCCGAAGGAGGTTGTGCGTTGTTCGCGCGTCTCCAAGTCATGGCATACAATGTGCTTTGATGGTCAACTGTGGAGCGATCTTGACACGAGCAAGTTCTACCGCGACATCTCGGCCAACGCTTTGGTCAACATCATCACATCGGCGGGTCCGTTCGTGAAGGATCTGAATCTCAGGGGCTGCGTACAGCTGAGAGAACACTGGGGCAAGGACGGCTTCATTGAGTCCTGCCAGAACCTGGAGAACTTCTCGCTTCAGGGCTGTCGGATCGATCGGACATCTATTCACTGCTTCTTGCTTCAGAACAGTCGCCTTGTCCACGTCAATCTCTCGGGTCTTGCGGGCGCGACAAACGCGGCGATGAAGATCCTTGCTGCACATTGTCCGAAAGTCGAAGTCTTGAACATCTCGTGGTGCAACAATATCGACAACCGAGGGCTGAAGAAGGTTGTTGAGGGATGCACGAAGCTGCGTGATCTCAGGGCAGGCGAGGTGCGAGGCTGGGACGATGTTGAATTGATGGTTGCACTATTCAAGCGCAACACTCTTGAAAGGCTCGACCTGAAGAACTGCGACAGTCTTAATGACGAAGCACTGGCTGCTTTGAGTGAGGGTGTAGATGAGGAGGTTGACGTTCTTACTGATCGCCCCATCGTTCCACCGAGGAATCTCAAGCACCTGAACCTTACGCGCTGCCGCAGCATCACGGATACTGGGCTGAAGACCCTGGTACATAACGTCCCGTCTCTAGAAGGTCTTCAAGTCTCAAAATGCGGCGGCTTGACCGACGATGCCTTGACCAGCCTCCTCCCCACCGTCCCCGTCCTAACCCACCTAGACATCGAAGAAATCGACAACCTAACAAACGACGTCCTAAAGACTCTATCCGAATCCGCCTGCGCCCCCCACCTCCGCCACCTCTGCATCTCGTACTGCGAGAACCTAGGCGACGTCGGCATGCTCCCCGTCCTAAAAGCCTGCACCCGTCTCGCCTCCCTCGAAATGGACAACACACGCATCTCGGACCTCGTCCTCGCCGAAGCCGCCTCCGGCCTGCGCAACCGCAACCGTCTTGCCCGCGGCCTCACAAACTCCGAACGCCCCGAAGTAGGCCTCCGCATCGAAGCCTACGACTGCGCAAACGTGACTTGGACCGGCGTCCGCGAAGTCCTATCTCGAAACGCGGAGATCACAAGACCGAATTCGCGGTCTGCGAGTAAAGTAGGGACCTACCCAAGTGAGATCATCAAGCTGAAGTGCTTTCACAATTGGCAGCCGACTGTTGAGGAACATACTAAAAGGGTTCTGAGGGGTGACTTTGCGGCTGCGGCGAGGCTGGAGCGCAAATGGGCGGATTGGATGATGTTGAATGAGGAGGCGGGGGTTGGTGGGGCGGGTGCGCGGCGTAGGAGGAGGAGGGCGAGAGAGGCGCAGATGATGCATGCGGATGAGGAGGAGGCTGGGGCTGGGGCTACGGGTGGGGGCGGGAGGAGACGCCGCGCAAGAAGTGGCCCTGGCGGGTGTGCTGTTATGTGAACGTGCGGTTCTTGGTCTTGAGATTTCTCCACCGCAACCTTTCCTTTGGGGTTCATGAGCTGGTTGTTGGCCCCAGGTTTGTGGGCTGATACTGTGATGGTGGCCATGGTTTGAATACGATGAACATGTGTCTAGGATTTTGTTTTCCGAGCGCGAACATTAGATCTCAACGATGTTTTGGCATTGGATGTTTGGAGTTTAAGGTCCGGTTCATCTTCTACATTCATAGATCTGCACATGCTGCATACAGTACGATGATCCAACACATCTTCATACTTGTTCAACACATCGATTTCCGTGTAACAATTTCGCACGCCAATGGGTTGTGTGATGAAGAGAGCCGCGTCCCCACGTGAGCGCGTGACTAGCTCGAACTGGCGACGCGTCGTTTGCTGGCTGCGTTACATCATCTCGGACTCAACCCCATCTCAGACTCAACCCCATCCAACAAACATGCGCATATCATCACAAGCTGGCAAGGCCGCCCACTATTCTTGCGTCAGTATCGAGTAAGCATACCTAGGTAATGTGCTCTCTACCCATAGACGACAGGACGGTTTCTCGGAACATGATGTATCCGGACCAGAGGCGGCGTGGGTCTGCTTATGAGAGAAGCGCGGAAATCTTCCGAGGCACTAGGTAGCATTACCAAGGAGCTCGTTTTTAGTGTTTTTGTAGAGTCTGTGCGGATTTTGGTGATAGCCTACAATACACCAAAAACGAGCGTCTTCGTAATCCGGCAATACATCTTGGCACCATTGCCATGGTATAGCCTCTTCTCGCGATTGCTAAGCCGGTAGTGTTACGAAGCTGATAGCCGAAGCATTGGATATGTATTGCACGAACGGTACCTAGTCATGTGTTTAAGTAGGGAATATAAACACCCTGCCACCTCACGATACACATACAAAGAAACTCACACTCAACACCTCTCTGACAGTCTTCAATCACTTCTTTTAACATCTCGATGGCGGAGTATCAGAACAAAGCGGCATGGCTACCAGGCGTAGGGAAGCAGGTCGAAATCGGTCCTGCCGATATCCCCGAACCGGGCCCAGAGGAACTTCTCATCGAGGTAAGGAATGTGAACAGGGAAGCCAGTTCATTTGTACTCGCATTCACCTTCCTGTGCAGCGTTTCTGACAAACGACATGATGACAGGTCAAAGTGGTGGCTGCCCAGCCAGCAGAATACAAGATCCAAGAGGGAACACTTCCGTATCAGCTGAATTACCCCACTATCATTGGAAGTTAGTATCCGTTCCCAGCAGAGGGGCCTCTGCTATAGAACATGGTTGCTAAGCCGAGTGCAGTATCATTTTCTGGCGTGGTCGTCAAAGTTGGCACGGAGGTCAGCCGCTTCAAGAAGGGCGACCGCATCGTGACCAACAGCGCTGGAAGTATCCGCAATGATCCCCGATTTGGAGCGTACCAGAAATATGCAGTCACCACACAAGAGATGACAGCGAAGGTAAGGGGACGAGATCTCCAGCTCAAGTCTCGCGATGTAACAAACTGTCTGCTAACAACATGGCCTTGCAGATTGGACAAGCGTCCTTCGAAGCCGCGGTGTCCATCTCCAGCCTGGCCTATCCTGCCAGTGCACTGTTTATACACCTGCACCTTGAGAAGCCAGCAGAACATCCCAGTCCCGAGAACAAGAACAAGAAGGTGCTTATCTGGGGCGCTTCTTCTTCTTTCGGCGCCTATGCAACCTATCTGGCTGCTAGAGCAGGTTACACAGTAGTGGGCGTTGCGTCTTCCAAGAATGCGCAGCTTGTAAAGTCCTTCGGTGCTGTGCACTTTGTCGACAGGAAATCACCGACAGTAACGCAAGAGCTTATAGATATAGGGCCTTTCGAAGCCGTCTTGGCAGCTGCGGACGCTGCCCAGGATCAGCCTGTGTTGGGAGCTGTCTTGGCTGCGCATGGAGGCGGTTCTTTTCTGTCGACGATGGGCTTGCGGCCGGGTGTGGAGCTGCCCACTGGAGTTCAAGGAAACTTTGTGGCGATTATGGATGTCTATCTTGACCCCAGGACACGCGACTTTACCACGTGGGTGTGGTGGGATTTCTTGGAAAGGGAGCTCGCGGCTGGGCGCCTGCAGCCTGTGCCCGTCCATGTTCTCGGTGGCCTGGACATGGTGCAAGAGGCGTGGAATCTGCTCAAGGCGGGGAAAGTAAGCGGCCAGAGACTGTTGATAGCACCTGGTCTTTAGTCACTTTGCACATTTTGTTGATAGCTGCGCACTCGCTCAATGCACGTACTTATGTTGGCTGTGCTTCTACCGTTCTCCGAATCGTTGGCATGTTACTATGGAGGAAAATGTTGACAAGCTTGGCTTTCCTGCTACCGCGAATCTTGAACCATAAAATCCCGTCAAGCGTCGCGGCGTTTCCGTGCCTTTTACTCTGAAACTGATGCTAACACATTACGTGAGCTGAGTTCAAATGTTTGGGCTGGTATAATCAAGTCACAGTCCGTTGCAGCTACAAAATTGGCATAATTCATGACACCTTGGAAATTACGTCAGATGGTAATATGAAGCCCCGCAGACTGTATTGAACTGTTAATATGCGTAACAATTATATTGCACTCCCATGTATTGTGGTGTGAAGCCTAGCGTTTGCACGTGAGCGCGCGACTAGTTCAAATTGGCGGAGGCGCGTTCAAGGTTGTTTGCTAGGTAGCTGCATTACATCATTCTTCGGCCCATGTCCATCCTACAAACATCAACATCTTGCCACTAATTAGCAAGGCCGTCAAATCCTATTGCAAACTTACATTCTCGAGCAACGATTATGTGCTCTCTACCCAGAGATGACAAGACGGGCCTGCAGGCTTTCCGCATCGCGGGTCTGCCACCGGATTTCTACTATATCCCCAACTTCATTAGCGTGGAGGAAGAGGCGTCGATTCTGCAGAAGGTATGTTCTCTTCCCACCTCTGATCTAGTCTACAGATTCGGATATCGCGTTGCACATGGGGAGTTTACTTACCCCGCTTACCACGTCTTTCCCCACATACAATCACCGCGCATGACATCCACGTCTCAAACCATACCTCCTCCTGATCCCCCTTGAAATCAACTAACCTCCCCTCCCCCATCAATCTAGATCCCCGCCCAGAGATGGACACACCTCACGCACCGCCGTCTCCAAGCCCTCCCCTCAACACTCACATCCAACAACACGCTCCTCGCCGCTCCTCTACCTAGTTACCTGACCACACCCATCTTACCCCGCTTCTTTGACTTAGGTATCTTTGATCATACGCCCCATGGCCAACCAAACCATGTTCTGGTAAACGAGTATAAGCCCGGTGAGGGCATCATGCCACACGAAGACGGTGGAGCGTATGCTGAGGTCGTTGCGACGGTTAGTCTGGGAGGGGCGCTGTGTTTGGATGTGCTTCCCAAACCCGAAAACCCAGCAGAAGACAGGAGGGAGAAGAAAGATGATGAAGACGAAGAACACGCCCAGCCTCTAAACACAGACTTAGACGAGGAAGAGCAGAAAACCAAAGAAAAGATGCTCACCCTCCCAACCCGCATCTTCCAAGAACCTCGCTCCCTACTCATCACCACAGGGCGTGCGTACAGAGACCTCATGCACGGTATCGCGTCAATCGAGGTTGATGAAGAATTGAATGCGGAGAGCGTTGCGAATTGGGAGTTGTTGAGTGAAGAAGGGAGGAAAGGGGTTGAAGAGAACGGAGGGAGGAATGTGAGGGGGACGAGAGTGAGTTTGACGTATAGGGATGTGATTAAGGTTAGCAGGGCGGCGAGTCGGGTTTTGGGGGGGATGGGTAGGCGGTAGGGGGGTAGGGTGAATGGAAAAGAAGAAGGAGAGGAGGTGTGGATGGATAGATGGAGGTTTGAACATGTTCATGATCTCCTCTAATAACAAAGGAAATGTCAACTACACTTATATACATCCCCCTCTCCTACTCAGCGCATACCCGCTTCCAACACACCCACCCCAAATCTTCAACCAGCAAGCACCCTACTGCTGATTCTTAGCCGGCCTGTAATGCCCCGCCAACTCCACATCCTCCGCACTCCTATCGCTCTCCCTGCGCTCCTCCTGCACCTTATCCGTCCTCTGCGCGTTCTTAGCCCTAACCGCCTTCTTCCTCCTAGCCTCACCCACAACCATCGCCGCAACCCACACCAACCACATAACCGCCGCAATAACACCATACGCAATCGCGCCATCGCGCGAGTTATCCGCCAGCAACAATCCCAATCCACCGTTGATCATACCAAGAGTGATCGCAATACGCCCAACCCAGATATGCGCGTAGGAAGTAAGAGTACGACGCTGCGTCTTCTTGAACAAGATGTGATGTAGAGTTCCGAGGAAGGGCATGAAGAATACGAGGCAGAAAACGAGGATACCGATGATGGCGTGGTAGCTGCTGATGTAGTGACCTCCGCTGACGGGAAGAGCGAGCCAGATACCCATTCCGAATGCCGCGATGTATACCATGTACGCCAAGATCTGGAAACCAGCGTGCAGCCATACGATGCCTGGGAAGGACGCCAGGCGGATGGCGATGGCGCCTGAGGGGAATAGGATGACGAAAGCGAGGGAGGCGAGGACGCCGTGGGCGATTAGCATGGTGCGTTTCTTGGAGGGGCTGACGGACGCGCCGGAGCTGATGGTTTGCACGGAGTTTCCGCCTGTGGCGCCGCCGTTGGGGAGGGTATCGCAGTAGGGGAGGTCGTCGTCGTCGTCCTTGCCGCCCTTGTCGGGGGAGGGGGAGCGCTTGTCTCCTGGGGGGCCGTTGGGGCGAGATGTAGGCCGAGAGGTTGGGCGGCCGTAGTTGTCGTCATCGTCGTCGTCGTCGTTGTTGCTGCTGGTTTGGCTTGGCCTGGAGCCTCCTGTGCCTGCAGCGCCGGAGGGGCGCTGGCGGCAGTTGGTTGGTGTTGCGCCGCCTGTGGTACCGGTTGGTGAGGTGTTGACGAGGGGGTTTACACTTGAACCGCCCTTTGCTTGGGCGAACTGCCAGTCGAAGACACCCTGGTTGGAGTGCTGGTCGATTTGCGCAGAGGTGGAGTCGTCGTTCTTGGGTCCGCCGGAGGACTGGTAGGCGAAGATCCAGCTCCCGCTGTTTCTGGTGAAGTCCATGGTGCCGCCAGACCAGGAGTTGCAGTTTGAGCCTGCGTCACGTGTTAGTTTGTGTTTATGTCGTGGTGGCTGTCAGTCTTACATCTCACGTTCGCGGTCATGACACCGTTTGAAACACCAGATCCTTCAAGCAGAGTGACTTGAGCAGCATCGTTGGGGCTGGGGGGCTGGTAGCTAGTAGTCCTTCTTGGCGACAGTGTAACATTGTTGCCAGATCCTGAAGTGTACACGACGAAGATGTTGGAGTTGGGCATGCCACTGCCTTGGCCAAGCGCAACCCACTCATAATTGCTTGGGGCTGATATCTGGAAGAAGATGTCTCCCGATCCGGATGATGCTGTGCGCTCGGGGATGTTGAGGCCATAGCATACACCGGTAGAAGGGCAGACACTGGCTACTTGGGCTGTGGCTTGGGAGGCTGAATAGGGTTAGCACCGTAGTAAGATGGGGCTGTTGTTGGGGGCTTACCCAGAGCCAAGAGGCCCATGACCGAACTTGTTGTGCGCTTCATCTCTTGTGCTCTGAAACTGAAAGGTCGTTGAATGATGCTGAACACTCGAGGTTGCCAAAGGGCTCGATGTTTAAGGCTAGTAGACAGCGCCTAGCTGAAAGCGTGGCTTGATGGCGTCGTCTCTAGAGGCGATCACGAAGCTATTGATCTGAGTTCAAGTAGCCAAACCAATAGGAGAAGATGTCTTGAGGTGAGTAAGGGATATGCAGTTCGATAGTGATTCGGCAGCAGAGGACAAAGAGGTTTATAGATGGTGGAGCCCGGATCACCCGCCTTCCAAGATACAGCTCCAAGCCCCCAAGAGAGATGCTGACAGAAGCATGGCTACGTACACGCAACCTGGCTTAGTTTGGTGGAGGTAGGTACCTCGCAGGCACAGGTGAACCCAACGGTATTACTGCTGATGTGTGGTTGGACAAGCCTGGCCGAATGCGGCGGCTTTGCGGAGAGCCGTCAGTCACCGGCTGGGCATAGCAAAACACCGTGAGGACCTCGCGATATGACAACACAACTTGTGCAAGCAGTACGCGTCACGAACGCCAGAGGGCCGCGATAACAAGTGAGATCTCCCGCCTGTACATGGTGCAGGGTCTGGCGCAGAGAGGTGGTACCAGTGAGGGCCAGCGGACTCAACGTTCGGCGCGGCTTGGCTGGACGCGTCGTGGTGGCTATGTGCAGGGCCAAACAAGTAAGTTGCATCCGGACGAATGACACGCCAGCTATTTTGCAAAAGTAATGTCCCGGCGCGGGGGCACGCTGGGAACGGCGGGCATGTCAGTTCACGTAAGGTTGGGAACAGGTGTGGTCTCGACGGTCGCGGTCTTGGTGCCCGCTCTTGTGGGCCCTCTTGTCCCGCACGTCCCTCGCCTTGGATCTCCCAACACCCAATTCCAGCGACCGCAATTCCAAGACATGTCAGCAACATGCGTCGAGATCCAGACTCCCATGACTTCATCCTCGAGCTGGGCACACTTTTACAGGAGCATGCTGTCCAGGCTGTGCTCGTCACCGTCAGCCCTCGGTCATCGGCCTAGTCGAATTCCCCATCGGAGATTCGGCCTGTTTCTCATATTACGGTGTATACGCGACATTATTACCACTGCATGGAATTGCCTTCTACTTTGGGACCATCGCACTGCAGCTGCATGAAGTCCGGTCGGTTTCACGTGGCGCTGTTCATGTCTCGATAGGCGCAGGCTGGTGGCTTGCAAGCGTGGCAGCCTCAGCCCTGAAGGACCGCGTCAGCTCGGAGCGCGACAGCTCGGAGCGCGAAACCTTGGATTCCAGGAAGTAAAATCAACACCATCGGCGTCTTCTGCTGGGAATCACCGAGGCATCACGATGCCAAGCTAGCTGCTTTCTCTCAGCATACGTCGATGATGAGTTATCGACATCTTGTTGCGGGGTTGCTCGATCGCGAGAGCCTTCGGAGTTAAGTGTGAGGGCCGATAGTGAGTTGTCGCACGAAGTCAGCACCCGCCGCCCCAATCTTTCACATCAACCGTCTCACCTCCGCGCACCTCGCCGTCTCCTCGCAGTTTGTGCTCGAGTGCACGTTTCTCTTCTCGCGTGCATTTCACGATCAGTGTGTTTTTCGATTCGGTTGTTTTCCTCTCCTTGCACCGACAAAGGCCCTTTTCCTCATCACAACAATTTTGCAGCAATCACGTGTTGTCTCTTGCACTGCCACTTCCAAGTTTCTTACTCACCCAGCCAATCAACACCCCGGCAGCGTACGTCGGTCGGGAAAGGGCCGAGCAGAAATCTGGGGTATTACCGTCCGCTAAGGAGTAACATCCGGCCGTAGCGGTAGTGAGCAATGAGCATCATACGATGCCTGCGATTCCAAATTCACATTGCTGCGCCTCAGGCTTAGAGTGTATTGGGAGTGAAGCTGCCAGAAGAAGAGCTAGGTTGACAACTAGAAGGCTGTGGTTGGTGGAAGCTCATGGTGGGTAGTTCATCTCCTCGTACATCGTCAAAGTGCTGTACAGTCATGATTGGGATTTCCTTAGTCATGGTCGATATGAGGAAGGTACATCTCTATGTGTCGTTGTGGTCACCGCACATTGCTCGGCGTGACGGCGTGTCCTCATCTACGCCACGGTCGAATTTCATCAACGAGCACTCCACCTTCTCCTTCTGAACACCAGGTTCGGCGATTTGAGTCTTTGAGAAAGTCAGAGGCGGTGAGCAGTTCTCCTTCCGTCGAGATTCGAGCGTTATGCTTTGGCCAACTTCTCTCAGTGGTCGCATGTACCTACTTCTTCAGTTCTGACATTTTCGTCCGTGCTACCATCAGGGCTAGCGGGTACCTGTCCCTCTGGAAAAGACCCTTTGAGTTTCGGAGTATCTTCCGCACGTGCCATTAACTTTCACTTTGAACTTATTAGATGGATGCCGAAAACCAAAGCCGCTCGACGAGATCGCTTAACGTCTAAACACCAAAGACCGCTCCAAATAACACACCGGATCCCTCCAATACGTACTGGGTAGTCTGCGATATCTTCCCCGCATTCTTGCCTTTTCTCCGAGCTGCATGTTGTACGTATATTAGCGATCATCCGGCAGCTGCATTTAGCCTTCGGTATAGTGACGCCCAGTCACACCACAGATGTCGCCCACATCACTAGAGCGTTCCTTCTCTCCGCAGTCCTCATTTGCGTCCAGAGTACCTTTGGCGTCATCTTCATATGTGTTGAGAGATGGCGTTCAGTGCGATAGATGAGATGTCGCCAGGCGCACAGCATGAAGAGAACATAAGACGGCCAGCTCCTTGTTCCTCACACCAAAACGTCGCCGAAGCGTTCCCATAGCTTCGCACATAGACAGGTACCTCCGCAGCATCGCAACCACCACGATGTTGCTCCTCACCCTCCTCTCCCTCGCGGGCCTGTTCACGACGACAGCCGCCCAAACCACCAACCCCCCAATCCGCTACATGCCCTTCGGCGACAGCATAACGGAAATAATCTGCTGGCGCTCCAAACTCTGGCAACGCCTCCAAACCACGCCCTTCAATTCCTCCACCGTAAACTTTGTCGGCAGCGGCAAAACCGAAAACAACTGCGGCGACACAACCTACGACCGCGACAACGAAGGCCACTCTGGTTTCCTCGCTATTGACATTGCGAATAAAGGGCAGCTGGATGGGTGGCTGAAGACGAATCCCGCGGACGTGATCACGATGCATTTGGGTACGAATGATATTGTGCAGCAGAATAAGGCGGTGGGGGATATTATTAAGGCGTTTGGGACGTTGGTGGGGAGTATGAGGGCGGCGAATCCGAGGATGAAGATTGTGGTGAGTTTGTTCTTTTTCATACTTGCCTGTGTACCTGCGTAAGGTGCGCTGTTGTACAAGCGCTATCTCACCTCATTGTATACCAATTGCTTACTCACTCTGCCATCATAGGTCGCGCAAATCATCCCCATGGGCTTCGGCAACTATAACACCAAGATTCAAGATCTGAACCGCGCCATTGTGCCGTGGGCTCAGGGTCTCAATACGACGGAAAGCCCGATCTGGGTTGTGGACCAGTACGCGGGTTTTAGTGGAACGGCGGACTTGAGGGATGGGATACATCCCAATGATAGTGGGGATGTCAAGATGGCCAATGTGTGGTTTCCGGCGGTTGTCAAGGCTTTTGAAGCGGTGAGGGCGGATAGGGGCACAGCAGTTGGTATGGTTGAGAGGGAGTTTGCTGGGTAGATGGCAATGCTATCAGATATTGGCAAGGTGTGAGATTGCGTAGTCAAGAACCATATCATGGAACTACCATCCACGAATGCACGATGAAGTTTAGTTCTGGATGCTTCGTAGGGCAGTCGCGACCAGGCGAGACGAATGCACGTGACGCTAGCGCCATGACCTGACGCTAAAATCTCCAGCGTGGGGCAGCGGCGCCCAAATTGTCAACTCCCCGACTCGAAGGCGCATCAACAAATAACAGCACTCACGCCCACCGCCTGCAACGCCACCCCTTCACCACGGACACTTCGGGCTGCATGCTTTTATCTCGTCGCTGATCGCCCAAAACAAACCCTTAGACGCCTGCACATAGATAGCCGCCATGGGAGAATCAAGGTAGGCACCGGGCCCGAGGGGTTAGGCTGCGGCCATCTGCGCAGACACCTTCACCACGACCATACGCTGACCGCAACACGTGAACAGACAAGAACTCGTCGCCTGGTTGAACAACCTCCTCCAGCTCAACATCACCAAAGTCGAACAATGCGGTACCGGGTACGTTGCGCGCGCCGAGGATAGAGGGGCACCCCTGGTCTGAGGAGTGAGGACGTGTACTGACATGGCGGACAGAGCAGCGCTGTGCCAAGTCTTCGACAGCATATTCTGTAAGTCCTTCACCTCACCTAGGCGCGGATGAGATTAAGACTAACAGCGTGCAGACGATGTGCCCATGTCGCGAGTCAAGTTCAATGCGAACACTGAGTACGCATACCTGCAGAATTTCAAGGTATTACAGAGTACGTCTCCCCTCCTACCATCACTGTTCCCCGCTAACAGTCCAGACACGTTCGCCAAGCACCATGTCGACAAGCCCATCCGCGTCGAGTCGCTCGTAAAGTGCAAGATGCAGGACAACCTCGAGTTCCTCCAATTCGTCAAGCAGTACTGGGACCAGCATTTCCCCGGCCACGAGTACGACCCCGTTGCCCGTCGCAAGGGTCAGGGTGGTGTCGCGACCGGAGCCACACCTGCACCCCGCGCCGCAGCATCGACTGCCCGAAGAGCACCAGCTGCTAGCAACACGGCTGCGCCTAGGACACGCACACCGCTTGCATCCGGGGGAGGAGCCGCCAGTGCCGCTCTGCGCGAGGAAAACAGCGCCCTCAAGGAGACTGTCACGGGCCTCGAGCGCGAGAGGGACTTTTACTTCAGCAAGCTGCGCGACATCGAACTGCTGATTCAGCAAGCAATGGAGGCCGACCCTGAGCTTGAGAAGGATGAGGGGCTGCTCAAGCAGATCCAAAACATTCTCTACTCCACCGAAGAGGGCTTCGAGATCCCACCAGAGGCTGAGGGCGAGGGTGCGGAGGAGGAGACGTTCTAGCCGAGCGTCAGTACTCTTTCTGATGCTCCGACAGCCAGTTCAGACGTGCAGCTTGACAACATCATTTCCGCTGCGCATACGTTATTGGAAGCGGCCAAACGTACAAAGACTCGTCGATCTGCGGGGCTCGATAGACGTACAGAGCGCGCTGAAAGTACTGGACCTTCCAAAACCCTCGTATCCGCAAAGCCTGTGAAGTATACACCGTGTGCGGAGCCTATTACTGCCAATCTTTCAGGCTCTTTTATGTTTGTCTCTGAGCCCACTCGGGTTGTCACTGCGCAGTCTGCTGAGTTGTCGGAGGAGAGTGAAGTGTTCTAAAGGTGGGTATGGTCATGATTGCATTTGGAAGCGAGGATACCATCTTTCTAGGGAGTTTAGCTTCCTATTGTTCAATACACGATGTTTATGAGTTGTGTTTGATGTTGAGATTGAACTGTGTTTTTGAAGTGTCTGCTGATGCGATGGTGCGATTGTGCGCTGCTGGAGATGGGTACAACGTTACTCCTGTCAAAGTCTACAACCCGAGAGCACTCAACCATCGCTTCATCCCTGCGCGTTTCTCCGTAGCCCCGGTTCTCATCCATATCATGTCACTCATTATATCCTCCGCCGTACTCTCCGCATCAATACTCCATCCACATGAATAATCCGGGTTACCCGGATCCACTGGTGCCTATGTATACCCTCAATTAACTTCTCGTACCTCTACAAGACGGATGCAACGTTACATACCCCTTCGATGCAACATGCCCACCCCCTAGGATAAAGATCCACCGTGCAATCTGTCAAGTTGGCGACGGGTATGGGCGTATAACATGGTGGCCCGTTGTGGGAAAGTAGTTCGGTGCAGCAGGCATCGATGTAGGTGGGGCCGAAGTAGGTTTGGCATAGGCTTAGGGGAGGATCTGCCTGTGCACGAACGGAGTTGAGGAGAGGGGGGAGGAGGAGGATGGCGAACATGAGGGGGTTGGGAGTGGACATTTTTGGGTGAGTCGGTAGAAACGAGGGATAAGAGAGGAGAAGGAAGGTGGTAGTCGGAGAAGAAGATGGTGGTATTGGTGGATATTTATATTCGAAGTAAATCGCCTCTCATTCCCGCTTCTGATAACCCTGGGTACAACGTTCCAATCCAACGTTACCCATCCCCCCCGCTGACTTCCTTCTACCGTTCACATGTACTCCAAACGAGTGACAGAGCCATGCAACGTACCACCCGACCGTCATCTGTCATCCGTCTTCTTCATTCGCTATCTGCCATACGCAAGCCCACCTCGCCCGAGAGAGACGGTACAGTGTAGTATATCCCACATTCAAGCGTTCTTCATCGCAGCAACAGCCTTAGCCATAGTCTCACCCATAGCATTGGAACTGAAGTAATCCCAGTACACCTGCTCTAAATCCTCGAGCGTCATGTACTCAGATACGATGCCGCTGGGTCCGTGGCCGAAGAGAGGGCCGGAGGCCGGGTAGGCGGGCTCCTGCCTTCACGTCAGTTCCATCACTACACTACCTACACCATCACCTTCTCCTCCCTATCCCTTCCTCTCCCATCACCACCCACCAAGATTCTTCGAAACTAGTAAGAAAGATCATACCTTCTCAACACAAACAGCCCACCCCGTTGGATAATGATACGTAGAGCACTCGGTCAAGTTGCTCACATACTCGATATCAGTGCAAGGCGCATTGACCCCGCGACTGATGACCGTGTGGCAGCAGGCGTCGGTGTAGTCGGTGCCGTAGAGGAATCCGCAGATCGTGTCGTCGGGGCCCATCTGGGCGGTGGTTAGGAGGGGGAGAGACGCTGCGAGAGCGATGAGGGGGGCGGTGATGCGCATGGTTGGGTAAGTGGTGGGTGGTGGTGGAAGGGGGGTTTGTGGGATGTGAGCGATGGGATATGAGGTTCTTCGAGGGTTCTTATGTGATGACGGAGATTTGCTGGATCAGTGGTAGAGATGAAGATGCTCTCGTTGAGGACTTTTCGGTACTGCAGATGCGCCATCCCGTCTTCTTTCCTTCCGTATGGCAAGGGTGTATACCCGTGGGTGTTTCCCAGATGGACATGGAAGTCTGCGTCGTCATACGCTTCTGGAATGAACATGAGCGATGGAAGCCGAATGACCTTTTCGTGTGACGCTAGCATGATTGACCGGACGGAAGAAGTTGAGGAAACGGCATGATAGTCCCTAGTGCCGATGATGTCGGAGTGTTGCATATGCTGTGGACTCAGATGACATGTGAAGGTTTCTTCATTTGTCGAAACATCCGCGGATGATGTCTGTTGTTTTCAATTTGAGCCTTGACCTGTATGGATAAGTCTTTCTTCTTTCCTTATTGCCTACCGTGGTATGATATGGGTGCGAATATGTCCAAGATAGTCGAGCAGCAAACATACCTATGTGTAACAGTCGCACTTGAGGCTTGGGGTTTAGAAATGAGGTACAAGTTGGGACATGCTATTAGTGCATTCGTTCAATGAGGAGGGAAAGACATCTGTAGGTGTAGTCAAAGTATCCTTTGTTCCATCAAAAAACATCATCAAGCCAGCTCTGAACATTCACCCCTTCATCTACCTCAAGATCCCTCATCCAAAGCCACGCTTCAAGATCATGCCACCAAGGTCCAAACGGAACTTCATCGAGGTTCGTGAGCCCCTGCATCGACACACCACTAAATTTATAAACTGTAGGATCATGACGTAGCCGCGGGTGTTCCCTCAAGTGTCGACTATCCTTACCCATGAAAGTCGTGCGGACAGGCACTAGTCTATCTGCGAACACCCTAGCCCTAGCGAAATCACCATTCGCTTTTGTGATCTGGAAAGCGAGGTAGTATGCATGATCTAGACCGACTGGATTCGGGCTATGATCGTGTCGCTTCCACAACTGGACCATTTCCTCGATGAGGCAGAGCAGTTGCTCAGGTGTTTTGTTGATGCCGCGCGGCCCGAGACCAGCTTCATCCGAGACGATGTTGTCTATTTCGTTAATGCGATTCAGAATCAAGTCGCTCTCGATGGACTGCTGAGATAGTAACGAGCAGAGTTGACATGTACAGGTGAAATGGAACCTCCTCTGCAGCTCCTCTTGTCGCTCGTTCCGATCATAGGCGCCCCCTAGGTAAGATATCGTAATCTCTTCTCCCTCGGAGATATCTCGTATAGCATGTACTGTTAGCCGATTGCTATCATCGTGCCAGCAGTGAGCGGCGTTGTTATCGCACGCATGGTTGATGCGACATGCTGTGATGAAGATACCGCTGAGATCTAACTTTGAACCGATGGGTAGAGCGTTTGTGTACAAAATACCGATCCATTGCGCCTCATAGTCGTTGAAAGGGTGGATATTGCTCATGGAAAGAAACTCGCCTCTGTGATGTTGGCTCAAAGACGTGACTCGATCTGCTAGTTCTGTCTCAACTGGTTCTCCCACCGCGAAGATGGGTTTCTCAGATATGATCCTTGTACCTTTGGGGATATCTCTAGTCGCAATAAGGCCTTTACCTTTTCCAGGCACATCTTCAATAGTGTAAGTGAGTGGGGTGGCCGAAGCATGTATGTTACCAATGAGTGCTTGCCGTGAGGGATGCATCTTGTTCTGGCTGAAAGTCAAAATCCGGTATTATTGACGCCTTGTAATCTGCTGGACGGTTCGTAGAACATTATGAGGATGATATGTCTATATAAGTAAGTAGCGCAGGTCACGCTCAGGGTGTCATGCTGGAACCCGCAAGTCATAGGGGACAGACGGTTGTTTGCTGGTAACACATGAGGCTCTGTCTTGGGTAGAAGTGAAATTGTGTTACCCGCGATTTCGCAAACAAGAGCTTCCATTCTGTGGAATATCAGTCGTTGAGAGCGCAGTCAGCGTAATTGTGTGGGTGGCCAGTCCGGTGGATGGCTGGAGTATCGCCCTGAGTGAGCTGATGTCAACTTGCCGCTATCCGCTGTCCAGTCTCGATGCGCGCTGAGGTCAATCGTCACATCCAGAGAGATCAACACTTCGAATGTCTGCTGAGACACGTGAAGACGGGCAAATCATGGACATTATTGAGATGGGAGTTCCCCGGCTGACGTTCAAATACCGTAAGCCAACACTCCGCAATCGGACCAGAGGAGCTTTGCCGATGATCTTCAGCTGATCATTTCGAGATTGCGACAGCTATCGTCAGGGCAGAACTGATTAAGGCGATGAGGCATGAGTTGACGGCCGCGGCTTTGCATGTGGTTCGTGATAACTGAGGCTTGCTCGGAAGTGGGTTTGGAGCGTTGTGGGGAACGATCGCCTTCCCTGCCGGCGGCTTGGCGGCGGCGCTAGTGGGGGGTTAACGTGTCTCGCGCGCGTCCGGCTTGCTTGATCAACACTCCCCGCGTCTCCTCATAGCATGCATCATCAGCTAGCCGCCCAAATCTGGTCTGGGTCAACAGCGAGCTCACCGGAACCATGACGAGCGACAGTCGAGACATGCGCCCACGTGTGCCGCACCCCGCATTACTTCTACCCCTCCTGGCACCATAGCTCCATAGCTAGCTCTGGGCGATACCGGGGTTATGCGTTGCTATATGTGTAGAGCGCGCCGTCGGCATGCTTGCGCATCATTTCTACCCTCCTCTGCCTCTCTTGACCCAATTCCTTTCCTCTGTTAAGTTCTCGCATTCGTCGCGTTGTAACGAGTCATTGCACGCCCAAAACCACCATGTCTGACTGGTCTGATCTTACCGCGGCTCTCAAAGGAAGCTTGGACAAGCTTTCCAAGCTTCTCCAATCCGATGCACAGCTCAAAGCCTTTACGACTTCGAATGCCATTGACAAGGATGTGACTTTCGGCATCAAGTCAAGCGGTTCTGACAACACCCTGCTTGTCACTGTCACCAACGGCAGCGCAAAAGCCAGCACCGGCTCTTCGAAAGATGCCCTGTTTACGCTCTCTGCTCTGCCCGAGGAATGGGAACAGCACTTCAAGGCAGTCCCGGCGATGCCGTACCAGAGTTACTGGGGAATGTTTGGCATGAACATCAAGCAGAAAGGCATTGAAGTCCTGGGCGATCAGACAGCCTTTGCACAATGGACACATGTCTGGAGGCGCGTCCTCGAGCTCACCCACGACGCGCATTGTGGACCGATGAAGGAGGACGAGCAAGCCGAACCCGAGCGCGACTTCCTCACTGGAAAGTACCTGTACCTCGACGCTCCAGTATGGGGTAGGTGCAAAACCTTCTACGAGTACTCTGGTGAAGGGAAGCAACCCATCGTCTTTCTGCATACTGCTGGCAGCGATAGCCGGCAATACCACGGTGTCATGAACGACGCGAAGATGCGCAAGAAGTGCATCATGTACGCGTTCGACTTGCCAGGACATGGACGCAGCTTCCCTTCGAAGAACTACTCTCCGGGCGCGCATACAAACACCGAAGATAGCTACGTGGGCATCATCACGGCTTTTGTGAAGGCCCTGGGTCTGCGAAGACCGATCATTTGCGGCGCAAGCATGGCCGGTCAAGTTTGTCTGGCAGTCGCGATCCGCCATAGGGAGGTCGGCGCTGCAGGTGTCATTCCGTTGCAAGGGTATGTGAGACATTGAGGTTATAGTAGCGATGCTAACGATTGTAGTTCTGAGTACCTCAACATGGAGCGACAATGGCATGATCGCTCTCCAGTAGTGAATCAGTCGCTATTCAACCCGGAATGGATCTATGGCGTACGTCAAACAGGTCAGCAGCAAGAGATCATTACTGACATCCAATAGATGATGTCTCCTACCACGCCCCACGTGAACAAGCAGCTCATATGGCACACATACAGCGCACAAGCCTACGGCGTAAGCACACCCCTATCACCTCACACCATCCCCTCCTAAAACATCCACAGATCTTCCACGGCGACCTCGACTTCTACTTCGGAGGTTGGGACGGCCGATCCCGCGTAGCCTCGATCGATACCCAGAACTGTCCCGTCTACATGTTGACCGGCGAGTACGATTGGTCAAACACCCCAGAGATGGGACAGAAGACGGCGGATAAGATACCCGGAGCGATGCACAAGGCGATGCCGGATCTCGGTCACTTCCCAGCTACCGAAAATCCGGCGAAGTTCGTGCCGCATCTTATTGAGGCGGTTGATCATATATTGAAGATAAGGTCGGATAATTTGAGTACTATGCGGCTGGGTGATGGTACGGATTAGACGGATATCACCGAGGGGGGTGTATGGATGACAGCGACAATGCATTGTTTATGCGCGAATGTATCGACTTCTTTTGATGGTTTAATTGACCTCTTCACCCCGTTGAAGGGAAAATCTGAACAGGTGCTCCACAGTCTACATCGCCATGAAAACCTGCATTTGTAGAGTTCTTAAGGGAACATAATCTACTCATTTTCTTTTCCTCAATTGTGCTTCGTAGATATGAGTGTCTAGCCTTTTCATTGAGTGGCGCGATTTTCCCTACGCCGTTCCTCAGCCTTTCATCCCACTCAAGGAGAATACTGAACATCTTAGAGCCTGCATCAATGCTGAGCCTTCCGATTAGCGGAGTGAGAGGGGAAAGAGAGGGAGTTGCTTGAGCGACGACAGGGATAACGGGACGATTCGAGCATACTGGCATAATCTTTCATGAGCTGGGTTTGGTTTGGAGGGTTTGGTTTGCGGACATGGTATGAGAGAGTTTGCAATCACTTGCCATATTATGGGCGAAAGACAGGACAGTAGTATGCTCATGCATTGCTTCGACGGATGGAGATACGCAATTGATACTTGTATCTCACATGGAAATGACCCTCCCATCCAAAGAAAGGGTATCGTACTCAGATTATCCAACCCAAAACCATAACAAAAACGCC